AGAGGTGAAGAAGCCAGAAACTACAGCGAAGACACGTGAGGCAGTCTCGCATGCTGCTGCGAGCAGGGACACTGCTGGCGAAAGCGAGAAGAACGAAACTAATACGAAAGATTGTGAAGTATCACATACTCCTGCAAACAAGCACACCCTTGAAACAAAGAAGAAGGTGGTTTCTGCGAAGCTTCTTGATGTAGATCCAAAGGTTGTTGAGAGCGAGCATATTTTTGACGACTCCAAAAATAACACCAAGATGAATTCTTTCGATTCTGTTGGAAGTAGTGCTTTTCACTCATTTTCAAGTGCGGAAACACCTACTGTGTCAGCAGAAGAACACGACTGCACAATACTGTCGGTGAGCGCTGCCGACGACAATTGTGGGGTCGAAAATTCTTTTTTCAAAGAAGGACCCTCAATGGAAATAGGCATCGATCAGTCAAGTGCTGAGATGGTCTTCAATAACCAAGTCAATTCTTATTGTAAAACAGGTAACGCATTTTCATACAAAGACCCTAACAATTCCCGTCTGCATGGTTTCCTTCACTTTTTTTGTATAACCCGTATGATCGACTACCACATTTTGATTTAAATACGTTTTGCTTGAAATATGCACTCACATATATCTTTAAAGTTTTTTTTCTCAACTTTTCCTCGTTGTGTTTTATCTTTTTATTTACGGCTTTGAAGCCTTTGATCTGTATCAATCTAGTTCTAAGTCGTTTTTAAATTTAGACTTTGGTATTGTTACACACTTTATCCGTAGATTATAAAAGTGTCATTTCTTCCGAATGATAGCAAATAATTTTTCAATTTGAAATAACGCTGCAGGATTATTTGATACAAGACTATATAAAGGATATTTGTAAAATCCTTTAGCGAAAGTGCACAAAATCGAATTTCACTATATGTTTTTGAGATTTTAACATTCATTTGCAGAAGATCGCAATCGCCACGAGACATCTGCTGCAGTTAGAGAGGAAGTTGAAAGAACAACAGCGAAAGATGTGCTAAAGAAGACAACAATTCTCAAAAAGCGCGCAAATGTTGTTGAATCTGCTGCTTCAATTGAAGGCACCGGGGAAAGCATAGATGACACGTCCAAGACAATGGAGCTTCGAAACGCGACTGAAACGCTAAATTCTTCTGCCACTGTAGGGAAAAAGGAACAGACAGAGAATGATTCTAGATTTTCAACAACCACCGAGGAAAGGAAGCGTTTGCAGGATGCGAAGGGGGCGGAAATAAGGAGTTCAATGGTAAAGAAAGATGCTGCTAAGCTCGAGAACACTTCTGCTGACGTCCAAGACAGCAAGATGCAGAATATGATTGAAGACAATACCCTCTTAGAGCAGGCTGCAGGTGAACTTGTCGGTACAAAGACGGGAGATGATCGAGTACCTGTTGGCAAGGAAGAAGGCGCGTCAAAATCGAAAATGAGCCAGAAGAGCACAGACATGAAAATGACGGAATCTTCGCTCGGAGCGAAGTCTAAGAAAGCTTCGGTCAAAGAAGAAAAAATAACGAAGATGCCATCAAAAAGCCCCAAAGTAGAGGTAGAACATGACAATGGAGTGGAAGCCAGTGTTCCTCAGCTCAAGAAGCAGGAAGAAGCAAGTGGTGTGCAAGATGATGTTGCTCAATCCGTAAATGTAAGCTTGGGCGGGATCCGAAGCACAGC